TCCTGTCTGCGCGGGCGCTTAGCTTTCTTCCTACCCATCTCTTAGATGAAAGCCTCTCGCCTGGGAGACTCGTGGGTTCCGTCCAGCTGTAAACTGCTAACTCAGTGGGCACCATTCCCTCAGGCAGACGTCGTTTGATGCTTCGTAGTGGTGTTCATGAGGCATCGAGAGTGGAAGAACTCCTGCCCCAGATAACAGGGGTTTGAAATCCTGCTTTGCCACGTGGCATCCTATGTGCGTCCTGCCCGCAGAGCCGGTTTCCTTCTCTGTACAGAAGGCACCACATGAGACTCCGTCACGGGGCAAGCTGTCAGTTCTGGTATGCTCCGTAAACGGTAGATTTTTCAAGACAACATTGTTACGAAAATGACTGTTTTTCTCGAAGGCTCATTTGTTTTCCTTTTTTCGGGGGAAAAGTTTTTCACTGACGGCATTGATGATGTCCCAGTCTGAGCCTGTAAGAATGTGATTTCTTTCAGACATTTCCCTTGGCCTCTGAGAATCACTCAGCCTGTGTATATGCTCATTATTTATAACTGAGGCTCCTGTAGCGTCCCCTTGCTGTGCAGACATTTTTACACTGGGTGGCAGGTTGGACTCCAGAACACGACCAAAGCAGAGAGAGAGAGAGAGAGAGAGAGAGAAATGAGACACATCAGCCTTTTATTTCTCTTCTCCAATTTCAGTCTCTTTAGTCCTGTGATTCCAAAGATAGGAGATGAGCCTGCCTCCGATTCTCTGGCCTCTTTATTTTTATTTTAATTCTTGCTAAATACACGCATCGTGATTTGGTAGCTGTCATGTTGGATGCAGTGAGAAGAGCTGGCCAAAAACCTATGGAAGGCGAAAGGAGAAGCCCAGCGTGGAGAACATCACACCGTGCATGTAGGGGTTTATTGGAGTAGGAGCATATGATCGAAAACACATGATGTCCAGAGACCAGTGTGGTGCTGGGACCTCTGCTGGGTTGGTGTCGTGGAGCAGTCCCGATGATGGCAGGTGATGTTAGGCAGTGTGCTTGGCACTTTATACATGTCATGTGCCCTCACAGTAGCCCCAGGGGGCAGGTACTATTAAGACTTTTATGTTTTCCTGAAGAGGAAGCTGAAACTAGGAGATTATGTCATTTGCTCCTGGTCGCAGAGCTGGTAAATGGTGGAGCAGGGGTTTGAACCAGCTCTGTCTCAACCTAGAAACAGTTCTTAACCACCAAACCACATGCCTCAGTAGAAAGCTGTGTTTCGTTGCTAGTGATGGGTGAGGAGATTGTCACATCACCGCCCGTTTTCAGGTTGCACTTGTGAGGTCTCTGAGTGGAGGAAGTCCCTGGCCAGCAGAGTTGGGATGTCATGCCCATTACAGAGGGAGCCTGTCAAAGGAGCACTGATGAAAAGGAGGCTGGGATGAAGCAGAAGATCCATCTTAGAACTCCCCCCACCTTCCCACTGCCTCCCCACCTTCCTCTTTATCATCAATGTACATTGTATATTCATTTGTGTAATTGTTCCTCACTTGTGGACTGTAAGCTCCGGGAAGGCAGGAATTATACCCATGGTGTTTCCTGTTAAACACCCAGGATCTAGAATTGCCGGCACACGGTAGGTCCTCAGTGCATATTTCTTGAACGTATGAATGAAAAGAGATTGAAAAGATGGAAAAGAAGTGATTGAGAAATGAATGAAGGGTAGGAGTTGGAAAGATTTTAGAGGACTTTTCGTCCGTCTCCTTCTCTCACGGTGGTGGAAACTGAGTCTCAAAGAGGGTAACGAATGCTAACTGAGCACCTGATGTAAGCAGAGCCTTAAGTTCTCTCACATCATCTGCTCGGAGGCAGCTCCAGGAGGCTGCACGACACCTCTCTTTTCTGACTGCCTCTGAAATGCGGTTGTAAAAGGGCGCCTGGGTGGCTCAGTCGGTTGAGTGTCCAACTCTTGGTTTCAGCTCCGGTCGTGGTCTTGAGGTCCTGGGATCGAGCCCCGCATTGAGCCCCACCCCACTGAGTCGGCTTCTTTCCCTCTCCCTCTGCCCCTCCCCACCCCACTCTCTCTCTCTCTAAATAAACAAATTCTAAAAAATCTTTAAAATGGAGCGCCTGGGTGGCTCAGTTGGTTAAGCGACTGCCTTCGGCTCAGGTCATGATCCTGGAGTCCCTGGATCGAGTCCCGCATCGGGCTCCCTGCTCGGCAGGGAGTCTGCTTCTCCCTCTGACCCTCCCCCCTCTCATGTGCTTGCTCTCTCTCATTCTCTCTCAAATAAATAAATAAAATCTTTAAAAAAAAAAATCTTTAAAATGTCCATCCTTAATGATCTCTCCAGGGGCCTGTGAGAGACACTGGCAGAATGGCCCCCTTCCAGGTGAGGCGGTCTTGGCTGGGGCCCGTGCTGGTAACTGCCCCGCACTCACACCCTCTAGGGACGTCCCTGCCAGGGATGGAGTAGTAAATGTAACACTCCCAGCACTGATGGGAGCAGGTCACAAACGCATGTGTGATGCCAGTCTTGGTTCGCGGTATGTTTTGGATAGAAAGTGAAAGAGGCTGGGGCGCCTGGGTGGCTCAGTCGGTTAAGTGTCTGTCTTCAGCTCAGGTCAGGATCCCGGGGTCCTGGGATGGAGCCCTGCATCGGGCTCCCTGCTCAGTGGGGAGTCTGCTTCTCCCTCTCCTCCTCCCCCCTACTTGTGTCTCTCTCTGTCAAATAAATAAATAAATAAATCTTTAAAAAAAAAAGAAGAAGAAGAAAGTGAAATAGGGTAATGTGGTGGGGAGCACCAGGCTCCTTTAGGTTGGGGTACCTCCTTCTGATGAGATGACATTTCAGCCGAGGCCCCTCATTGGATAGGAGGGAGCCAGCCATGCAGAGATCCGGGGAAGGAAGACGACAGGGAGAACGCAGGGCAAGCATCTAAGGTAGAGGCGAGCTTGGTGTGTTTGAGGGACAGCAGGAAGGGCAGCAGGGCGGACGTGGCATGAGCAAGGAGGAGAGTGGTAACAGATGATGGAGGAGGGGTTAGGCGAGGCTGATTACACGGAGTCTTGAAGGCCAGGATAAGATGCTTAGGTTTTATTCTAGCAGGATGGGGAGCCCGTTGGAAGGTTTTAAGGAGATGGAAAGGTACAATGTGATGTATTTATAACATGGCAGTGTGTGGAGGACAGGTTTGAGTGCAGGACAGTGGAAGCAGGGAGACCAGCTCGGAGGCCGTGGCAGTGGTCGGGGAGACAGGTGGTGGGGCTGGGACCAGCCTGGTGGCCGTAAGGGTGGAGAGAGGACACAGATTTTAGATTTATTTTGGAGATGGAGTCAACAGGACTTAGCTAATGGGTTCATGTGAGGAGCGAAAAGAGTGGAATCAAGGATAAATCCTAGATTTTTGGCTCAAGCATGTGGTATTGGTTCTTCTGATGGGAGGCTAAGGGAGAGCTTACTTGTGGGAAAAATTCAAGAGTTCTGTTTTGGACCTGTTATCTCGGAGACATGAGGAGACGTTCAAAGTGAGACTTGAAAGACGAACGGGATTTCACCTGGAATGGGAAGGAAGAAAGGACGTTTTGGAAGGAACAGCGTGGGCTGAGGAAGTCCGTACGTAGCAGAGGAGGGGAAGATGGATCATCAGTCCGTGTGGCTGGTGCATGTCTGAGATGAGAGGAGAGGAGTGGAAAGACATGATATCGTGATGAAAAAGAGAGAATGCGTTCTTTTTGCACTTCAATCCTTATGAGAACCCAAGCATTTGTGTTGAGTGGGATAAGTAGGATGTGCCAGAAATACACCTATCAGAGTTCTTCTCAAAATCAAATGGCGGTCACCAAATGGTAAAGCTACCTCATTGACTATGGTTTCTTTTTTGGCGGTGCTCTGTCCAGGGTCCACTCTCGGTCGGAATCTCTGGTGTAGCACCTGCTGTGTAGACAAGGAGGGCCCTGCTGGTAGCTTCTCAGTCCTCTTAGACCCGAGATCTTCTTTTGGTAATGAGTGTTTTGTAGCATCCCTTTTGCCATACTGAAATGATATTCATGGTTGCTATAACCAGCTTACACAAATCGCTGCAAACGATGTAATATTTCAGCTGTAACAAAGGAGAAATAAAAGGAAAATGGTTTAAAACAAAATACGTGTATCAGTACACAAACGTTGAGCATAAGGAAGTATTTAGATGTGGCATGATTTTCAAAATAGCCAGTAGGGTCTCAGTAAAGATCTGAACACATTTGTTCCTTAATTTACATGGTAGCTGCATTCCTGAAAATTCAGTGTATTTTAAGATCATGCAAAGAAAATGCTCCGTGTTTGTATGTAACAGTGAGGTTCCAGGCTCAGCCAATTATAAAACAGCTTCTCACCTGAAAGAATGTTGTTATGACATTAGAATGTTGTGCGGGAGTGTCTTGAGCATTGCGAGACATCTTAGCACCTCTGGTTCCTGCCCATGAAATGTCCCCCCAAATTTTTGGGAATGTCCCTGTGGCTGGTACCAGTCCTGCTAAGAACCACAGCTTTGGCTGTTCTGTGGGCCATGGGGATGCTGATATCCCTGCATCAGAGGACACGTTGACCCCCCATCTCCCAGTCTGTGCTGTAACCTTTGTGTGAACGGGGCATTGTCTGCCTTGTTCCTGTTCTATCCCTAGGACTTGGCCCAAGGTGTGTCCTTAGAAAACATGGTTGAAGGAAAGGGTGGGTGGATGCATCAATGGATGGACAGACGGAGGGATGAAAAGAGATTTTTCTCTTTGTTCTGTTTTGTGGAGCAATCCTTTAGTTTTTTTTCTTCTTCTCTGTTATGACTTGGGAAGGCTTTTAAAAATGATCCATGCGATAAGAAGTAGTAGAAATCTCTTCTACTCCACCTCTTGAATAACAGGTGCTTTGATCAAAATGTCTATTTTTATCTGAATGCCATCTCGGCTGTCACCTGTCTAAGCTTTTATTTTGTTAAACTCAGGAATGTAGATCATTTTGAGAATGTAAATCTACTTATGGCTTTTCTCCTTTCTTTCTAGTGTGGGAGGAGTTGGCCTGCTATGAAGAAAACACACGGGATTTTCTTTTCCCTGAACCCAAGCTGACACCTTCGCTCCCTGGGATGTGCAGGGAGGTGCTCATGAAGACGATTGCAGGGTTTCCAGTAAGTGGTTCGTGCCCAGCCTGGACTTCTGTGGGGAGAGATTCTTGGGACTTGGACATTTTATTTCTGACAGGGCTTGTTCTTGGGCTGATCACTTCATCTTGGCTAGTACCCCTGTGTAGCAGCCCTGTTTAGATGCCCCATTCAAAAACCAAATTATACTGATTCCCCCCACTGCTGATCTGAGAGGTGGTGGGGGGGGAGGGGTCTTAACCTAATCAGGCCAAATCATTGCCTTATTCACACTGTCACATACTTACAAGGATGCTTTTCCACCTCCTCTTAATGCAGACTAATGGAAAGATTTAATACCAGTTTATTTAATCGTAGCTATTGTTTTAGTAGTAATAATGCACTTGATCTTAGCCAAAAGGCCGAGAAGCGATTTTTTAGTAGTAATAATGAAAGCAAATAGAATCGTGAGAGTAATAATGCCACCTCTCATTTATTTTGAGCCTTCGGGTTTTCCTTTTTTTTTTTTT